CGGAGGGAGGGTATGGGGATAAAGGAAAGGAGGGAGATATACAGATATATAGCGGAGGGAGGGTATGGGGATAAAGGAAAGGTGGGAGATATGCAGCGGATGGAGGGTATGGGGATAAAGGAAAGGAGGGAGATATACAGCGGATGGAGGGTATGGGGATAAAGGAAAGGAGGGAGATATACAGCGGATGGAGGGTATGGGGATAAAGAAAGGAGGGAGATATATAGTGGAGGGAGGGTATGGGGATAAAGGAAAGGAGGGAGATATACAGTGGAGGGAGGGTATGGGGATAAAGGAAAGGAGGGAGATATACAGCGGAGGGAGGGTATGGGGATAAAGGAAAGGAGGGAGATATACAGCGGAGGGAGGGTATGGGGATAAAGGAAAGGAGGGAGATATACAGCGGAGGGAGGATATGGGGATTAAAGGAAAGGGTAGTGATATACAGCGGAGGGAGGGTATAGGGATAAAGGAAAGGAGAGAGATATACAGCGGAGGGAGGATATGGGGATAAAGGAAAAGAGGGATATAAAGGACAGGAGTGAGATATATAGCGGAGGGAGGGTATGGGGATAAAGTAAAGGAGGGAGATATACAGCGGAGGGAGGATATAGAGATTAAAGGAAAGGAGTGAGATATACAGCGGAGGGAGGATATAGGGATAAAGGAAATGAGTGAGATATACAGTGGAGGGAGGATATAGAGATTAAAGGAAAGGTGGGAGATATGCAGCGGAGGGAGGGTATGGGGATAAAGGAAAGGAGGAAGATATACAGCGGAGGGAGGGTATGGGGATAAAGGGAAGGAGGGAGATATACAGTTGATGGAGGGTATTGGGAGAAAGGGCAGGAGGGAGATGTGGTGCGGAAGGAATTAAGGAAAATGGTAGGAGTGAAATATACATTGGAAGGGATGGGGTAAGCGGTAGGATGGATATATATAGCGTGGGGGATTGCGATAAGGGGTAGGAGGGAGATATACGGCCGAGGGGCTTGGGAAAAATGTGGATAATTGTTCATTTTATTAGTTTCTTCAGAAGTGTAAGCTTTTGATCTGGAAAATTCAATAACAGGTAGAATTTGGAAATTACTCAATTATGATGATATGAGCTACATATGTCAGGTAATGGAGCTACATATGTTAGGTGATTGAGCTACAAATGAGTCGAAGCGATTTTTCAGTCCCTTCAATTGTCTCAGAATTAATTTTGTCAAAACATCAGCACGTCTTCTGACGAAATCGGTCAAACACAGGGTAGAAAGTCACGTGTGTTCAACACATGGCTAATAATGGCGTATTGGTCCAAGTACACACAACACATGGGCTCTGCCGATTAATTAACTGTTTAATTATCCAACTACAGGTTGGCTTCTTAATTAGTGTCACCATCCTGTTGGAGTGATTTGCCTGTAGGTTAAAAAATGAAGCGCGTTTACACAAAACATGAAAACATTTAGCTTGGTTGCATGTATCATCAGGAACAATAACAACGAAACGGTCAAACCAGTACAAACTTTTTGACGAGATCTAATTCCCACAATTCCGAGAGAAGGTAATTTTGAGCTTGTTAACTAAAGGACTGTGATCGGGCACTTTGTAAGATTTATTGTTTGGACAATGAAGTGCTGAAAGTGTTTTTCATTGGTAGAGTCTATAGCTGTGCGTGATTTGTTAAGGCTAGTACATGTACAATGTTTTCTGTAACAGGTAAAAACTTTCTAGTGCTGCATTTCTGATCCATTTATTTATTTATAATAAAGCCATATTAATATGAACTGTAGCTTAATACATCGTATCGAAAACAATTTTTTATTTCGAGTTATGTCATTCAGTGAGTTTCAACTGTACATACATCTTGATTAATGTTAATATATATCTACAACAGTCTTCCACATCAGCGATACAAGAAATATTACGGATATGTATCGTATATGTAAAGTACCAAATAAGTTATATTGTGATAGAGTGACGATTTCTCAGCTAAGAGAGAAGTTTTACTGAGATAGAGTGACGATTTCTCAGCTAAGAGAGAAGTTTTATTGTGATAGAGTGACGATTTCTCAGCTAAGAGAGGTTTTACTGAGATAGAGTGACGATTTCTCAGCTAAGAGAGAAGTTTTATTGTGATATAGTGACGATTTCTCAGCTAAGAGAGAAGTTTTATTGTGATAGAGTGACGATTTCTCAGCTAAGAGAGAAGTTATATTGTGATAGAGTGACGCTCAGCTAAGAGAGAAGTTTTACTGAGATAGAGTGACGATTTCTCAGCTAAGAGAGAAGTTTTACTGTGATAGAGTGACGATTTCTCAGCTAAGAGAGAAGTTTTATTGTGATAGAGTGACGATTTCTCAGCTAAGAGAGAAGTTATGTTGTGATAGAGTGACGATTTCTCAGCTAAGAGAGAAGTTTTGTTGTGATAGAGTGACGATTTCTCAGCTAAGAGAGAAGTTTTACTGAGATAGAGTGACGATTTCTCAGCTAAGAGAGAAGTTTTACTGAGATAGAGTGACGATTTCTCAGCTAAGAGAGAAGTTTTATTGTGATAGAGTGACGATTTCTCAGCTAAGAGAGAAGTTTTATTGTGATAGAGTGACGATTTCTCAGCTAAGAGAGAAGTTTTATTGTGATAGAGTGACGATTTCTCAGCTAAGAGAGAAGTTATATTGTGATAGAGTGACGATTTCTCAGCTAAGAGAGAAGTTATATTGTGATATAGTGACGATTTCTCAGCTAAGAGAGAAGTTTTACTGAGATAGAGTGACGATTTCTCAGCTAAGAGAGAAGTTATATTGTGATAGAGTGACGATTTCTCAGCTAAGAGAGAAGTTTTATTGTGATAGAGTGACGATTTCTCAGCTAAGAGAGAAGTTTTATTGTGATAGAGTGACGATTTCTCAGCTAAGAGAGAAGTTTTACTGAGATAGAGTGACGATTTCTCAGCTAAGAGAGAAGTTTTAGTGAGATATTGTGACGATTTCTCAGCTAAGAGAGAAGTTTTACTGAGATAGAGTGACGATTTCTCAGCTAAGAGAGAAGTTATATTGTGATATAGTGACGATTTCTGGAGCTAAGAGAGAAGTTTTATTGAGATAAAGTGACGATTTCTCAGCTAAGAGAGAAGTTTTATTGTGATAGAGTGACGATTTCTCAGCTAAGAGAGAAGTTATATTGTGATATAGTGACGATTTCTCAGCTAAGAGAGAAGTTTTATTGTGATAGAGTGACGATTTCTCAGCTAAGAGAGAAGTTTTATGAGATAAGTGACGATTTCTCAGCTAAGAGAGAAGTTTTATTGAGATAGAGTGACGATTTCTCAGCTAAGAGAGAAGAGAGAAGATTTTCAGCTAAGAGAGAATATTGTGATAGAGTGACGATTTCTCAGCTAAGAGAGAAGTTTTACTGAGATAGAGTGACGATTTCTCAGCTAAGAGAGAAGTTATATTGTGATAGAGTGACGATTTCTCAGCTAAGAGAGAAGTTTTACTGAGATAGAGTGACGATTTCTCAGCTAAGAGAGAAGTTATATTGTGATAGATTTCTCAGCTAAGAGAGAAGTTATATTGTGATAGAGTGACGATTTCTCAGCTAAGAGAGAAGTTTTATTGAGATATAGTGACGATTTCTCAGCTAAGAGAGAAGTTTTAGTGAGATATTGTGACGATTTCTCAGCTAAGAGAGAAGTTTTACTGAGATAGAGTGACGATTTCTCAGCTAAGAGAGAAGTTTTAGTGAGATATTGTGACGATTTCTCAGCTAAGAGAGAAGAGAGAAGATTTCTTTTAGAGAGATACGATTTCTCAGCTAAGTGACGATTTCTCAGCTAAGAGAGAAGTTTATAGTGAGGTAAGTGACGATTTCTCAGCTAAGAGAGAAGTTTTATAGTGATGATACGATTTCTCAGCTAAGAGAGAAGTTTTATAGTGATGTGACGATTTCTCAGCTAAGAGAGAAGCTTTATAGTGAGGTAATGACGATTTCTCAGCTAAGAGAGAAGTTTTATAGTGATGTAATGACGATTTCTCAGCTAAGAGAGAAGTTTTATAGTGAGGTAATGACGATTTCTCAGCTAAGAGAGAAGTTTTATTGTGATAGAGTGACGATTTCTCAGCTAAGAGAGAAGTTTTATAGTGATGTAATGACGATTTCTCAGCTAAGAGAGAAGTTTTATAGTGATGTAATGACGATTTCTCAGCTAAGAGAGAAGCTTTATAGTGAGGTAATGACGATTTCTCAGCTAAGAGAGAAGCTTTATAGTGAGGTAATGACGATTTCTCAGCTAAGAGAGAAGTTTTATAGTGATGTAATGACGATTTCTCAGCTAAGAGAGAAGCTTTATAGTGAGGTAATGACGATTTCTCAGCTAAGAGAGAAGTTTTATAGTGATGTAATGACGATTTCTCAGCTAAGAGAGAAGCTTTATAGTGAGGTAATGACGATTTCTCAGCTAAGAGAGAAGTTTTATAGTGATGTAATGACGATTTCTCAGCTAAGAGAGAAGCTTTATAGTGAGGTAATGACGATTTCCCAGCTAAGAGAGAAGTTATATTGTGATAGAGTGACGATTTCTCAGCTAAGAGATAATTTTTATTGTGATAGAGTGACGATTTCTCAGCTAAGAGAGAAGCTTTATAGTGAGGTAATGACGATTTCTCAGCTAAGAGAGAAGCTTTATAGTGATGTAATGACGATTTCTCAGCTAAGAGAGAAGTTTTATTGAGATAAAGTGACAATTTCTCAGCTAAGAGAGAAGTTTTAGTGAGATATTGTGACGATTTCTCAGCTAAGAGAGAAGTTTTATTGAGATAAAGTGACAATTTCTCAGCTAAGAGAGAAGTTATATTGTGATATAGTGACAATTTCTCTGTGGTCTTCTAAGACACCAGAATAAAAATAGAAGCGTGTCCAATAAAACCCAAGTACAATCTGCGGTGTGTGTTAGTGTGACCAGAGATAGGGCCAGCACCACACCTGTATTTCACACTCGTCTATCGCATGCGAACATGAAGTCCGTCTTTACTTTCTTCCTTCTCCTTACGGTTAGCTATGGTAAGGCACGTTTCCACTTTCATTTGAAAAAAAAATGTGTTTTGAAGGTAGATATCGAGAACTACTCCTTCTGAACCAAAATATTCATTAGAGTTAAAACTTACCTTTGTGCGAACAGAGACACATATATGTGTGTTATATATGTCTCTGGTGCGAATGAGCAGCTATTAAATCGCCGTATGGAATGTTTACTAAAAGGGACAGATTTTTAAGCGATAATTTTGTTACTTAGCACACCTATTTCTACATGCCTCCTCCACACAAGAACTTGTGTTCGTTAACCGTGAAAACTGTGAAATCCTCGTTTATCTCAGGTGGTCTCTGAAGAACCACCAATGCTAGGGTTCAGTAAGTGTAACGGCACCGGCTGTATACCGCGCATGCCCAGCCCAAACTGCGGTCTAGAAACGTTCATTGACCGAATACTCTAAACAGGCTTCGAATAATTTTAAACAACAAAACAGATACAGGCACATTCTTTAAATTCCAAACTCGAAATCGATGGAACGAGGGAAAACAGCCTTATTCTGGAAAATCATTTTTCAATATATCCGATTGGTATATTGTGTCCCTAGAATACTCCTGATGAGCTTGGCATACTTTGTCCTCTTCCCCAGCTCACGTGTAGGTCCAGCAAGGCTTATAAAGAACTGGTTTTCAGCAAATACTACAGGTCAACGCGGAGAAAAGTAGAAATTTTGCAACCAACTGTGTTAAAGTGTCAATTAGCCTTTTCATAAACACCCGAATAGTAGAGAATGGCGTGTATATTTAATCAAATAAATTTCCAGCAATTCAACCGCCAGTGGGAACACTAGGTTTTTATTACGCACAACAAGATTATTTTTTAAGTCGATGTTGTTCAGCTAAATAATCCTTTTATTGACTCATGACATCTTACTTTAATTGTTTTTTTTATAATTAATTTCCCATGCAAAAGCTTCATCAGAAAACGAAAAATGCTAATGATGCGGTTGGTACTCTGAATGGGTGGGTAACGGTGTCCAGGGTAGCTAATCAGGAACTCAGATAACCCATGTTTATGTTAATGATATGCAAATGAGCATTAATTTGGATTATAGCTTTGTAAAATTATGGTTCTTTCGATAAATATGAAAAAAATGTCATTTTAAACAGGAAAATCGTCTCCAAGAATGTACCCTGTGACCTGTCCTGATTTTAAGATAGAACTTCAACATTTAGTAAAAATAATATAGGCAAAGATTGTCTTCGGAATGCATCATATAACATTAAATACACACACATGTATATATCATCTTTATGCCTTTAAACATTACAGGATTCATTTTGGATAGTGTTACTAACAAGAAGGTCTGTTATGGAGAGCTTGGGTGCTTTAGCACTGATGCTCCATTTAATGGCCTCGAGCGACCTATCACCGTGGTACCTGCGTCACCAGCTGACATCCAGACTAAGTTCCTTCTGTACACGAGGTGAGCTGTATGCTTGTTTTAGGTCACTCTACACTGTAGGGTTCCTATATATATATATAGTGGAGTCCATCCTGTATACAAGGTGGTTTGTGGCCTTGGATTGGGTCGGTATATATAGTGGAGTCCATCCTGTATACAAGGTGGTTTGTGGCCTTGGATTGGGTCGGTATATATAGTGGAGTCCATCCTGTATACAAGGTGGTTTGTGGCCTTGGATTGGGTCGGTATATATAGTGGAGTCCATCCTGTATACAAGGTGGTTTGTGGCCTTGGATTGGGTCGGTATATATAGTGGAGTCCATCCTGTATACAAGGTGGTTTGTAGCCTTGGGTCGGTATATATAGTGGAGTCCATCCTGTATACAAGGTGGTTTGTGGCCTTGGATTGGGTCGGTATATATAATGGAGTCCATCCAGTATACAAGGTGGTTTGTGGCCTTGGATTGGGTCGGTATATATAATGGAGTCCATCCTGTATACAAGGTGGTTTGTGGCCTTGGATTGGGTCGGTATATATAGTGGAGTCCATCCTGTATACAAGGTGGTTTGTGGCCTTGGGTCGGTATATATAGTGGAGTTCATCCTGTATACAAGGTGGTTTGTAGCCTTGGGTCGGTATATATAGTGGAGTCCATCCTGTATACAAGGTGGTTTGTGGCCTTGGATTGGGTATCATATAAAGCCGATCTCTGTGATTGCTATTTTAATTAAGTAATACTTATTTTCGATTATCACAACACTTGTTTAATTTTAGGGTTATAGAAACTGTGTGTTATTTTTGTTAGCGATTTTTATAACATTGACAAGTTGACATTAATAAGTTAATATTAATTGTTATTTATGCGCTGTTTTTTTTCACTTCGAGTATGATGAATTTGTCAGGTAAGGCAAGTATACGACTATTTTTACAGAGACAATCCGACGTCAGCCAACGAACAGGTGTTGTCTTATTCCGACCCGTCCTCCATTCTGTCCTCCTACTATTCAAGAGATAAGCCTACCAAGTTCATTATCCATGGCTTTACACACCACGGTCACCGTCAATGGATCCTAAACATGAAACAAGCTCTCCTGCAGAAGGTTGGTATTGACCTTTGTCAGCTCACTCAGCGTTCAAATGTATGCGATGATAGCTAAATCACGAACATTTTCGGTTATAAGTGATCACCTGTCTACCTGGGTGAAATAGTTGACCTTACCTCACCCCCGCCCACACCTGTCAACGCCCACCGCCATTCTTCAATGGACTGCAGTTACGGCATAAGTTTTGAAGTTGAAATGTCATTTCTAGAGATTATTTTTCCTTCTTATGTGTATCTGGCATATAATTTGAGTGTCCATCCTAACCAGCGAAAACGGTTGTTGAAATTCTGTCCTGAAGTCGTGTCCCTGTTGTCGTTATAACGTGACTTGGTTTCGTGCTGCCATGTCCTGGGCATACCATTTCATTGTGATACCACTATAAAAGCATCCCTGTAGTCAGTATAATGTGACCGGGTGTCGTGCTGTAATGTCTAGGTTATGACATTTCAGTGTGACGGCGCTTTAAAAGTGCCTATGTAGTCAGTATGACGTAACCGGGTATCGTGCTGCCTTATCAAGGTTATGACATTTCAATGTGATGGCACAATGAAAGTGTTCTTCTAAAATATGATCGGCTGTCATACTGTCGTTTCGAGATTATGACATTTCAGAGTGATGACACTTTAAAAACGCCCTTGTTGTCAGTATAACGTAACCGGGTAGGATGTCGTTCCACAATATCAATGTTATAGCATTTCAGTTGATGTCACGGTGAAAGTATCTGTCAGAAGGCTGTCATCCCCGGCCACGTCTTCGTATGACTCTGTTTCTTGAGTAGAAATCCATACAAACACACACACAGATACATAAACTAGCCTACAGATATTTCCCTTTAAACTCACGGCTCCTTATCAATTAAAAAATTTGCAAATCATACAAAACAGAAACCAAACCATATTCGCAAACGTATCGGTTGTTTTCAGGAAAAGGACACCAGAAATGGTGAAACTTTTCATGAAATCACAGAAATACTGAATCAATGAAACTTGTTTTATCGTAACCTCCTGTATATCTAATCTGTTTGCGTATTCCTTCTGATTTCAAACATTATTTCTGTGATAGAAAGTCTGGCAGATATTCATATAAGATTTATATCATCACAGGCAATACAAGTCACGGTTATAATTATTCTCTGTAAAAATACAACGGGCATAATCGTTTGTGAAGCAGAATACAAATGAGATGAATTATGAAGCAATTAGCGTTTTTCAATGAAACAATCTTATACTCGTTTGGGGAATGGTATCTCTCTTGTGTTAACCTTTATATTTTGCCGAGTGTTCATGATAATAAACTGAAAGTCATACAGACTGCACAATGTTATTTTGCTGTTGGCATGACATGGTGTGTCATCTGTTGTATATTCAAATATAGATCTCTGTTCTAAAACAGGGGCCTCATGCAAAGTCCCTTTACGTAAACCCACAGGGACTTCCTGACAAGTTCCCGTGCGTAAACCTACAGTGGCCTCCGTGCCAATTCCTTGCTCCTAAACCCACATGTAGTTCCTGACAAGTTCCAGTGTATAATACCACAAGGCTTCCGTGCTAATTCTTTGTACCTAACTCCACATGGACTTCCTGACAAGTTCCTGTGTATAATACCACAAGGACTCCGTGCCAATTCTTTGTACCTAACCCCACATGTAGTTCCTGATAAGGACTCCGTGCCAGTTCTTTGTACCTAACCCCACATGCACTTCCTGAAAAGTTCCCGTGCGTAAACCTACACTGCCTCCGTGCCAATTCCTTGCTCCTAAACCCACAGGGACTTCCTGACAAGTCAGCTCACTGCTCACTGTTAGTCGGATAGTTTTGTCACTGAAATGTCTTAGATAGGAACAGGACAATTTGATCCATCAAAGGGCATATTTGTTTGGTCGGTTTTATCTTTGGCCGATCAAATTCGTTTTAAAAAATGCCTACAGCAATGACGGCTGATTTGTTTGAATGAAGTACTACACGAAATGATGTTTGATTTCATTGTTTTTTATGTAAAATTACAATTCCAATCATCCAGGAAACGTGCATGTGTGGATGGATTTGTTTCGGACGAAAATGATTGTTATATATAGTTGTTACAGACGAATATGATTGTAATAGATTTGTTACGGACGAACATGATTGATATATATATAGTTGTTACGGACGAACATGATTGATATATATAGTTGTTACAGACTAACATGATTGTTATATATAGTTGTTACAGACTAACATGATTGATATATATAGTTGTTACGGACGAACATGATTGATATATATAGTTGTTACAGATGAACATGATTGTTATATATAGTTGTTACAGATGAACATGATTGTTATATATAGTTGTTACAGACTAACATGATTGTTATATATAGTTGTTACAGATGAACATGATTGTTATATAGATTTGTTACAGATGAACATGATTGTTATATATAGTTGTTACAGACTAACATGATTGTTATATATAGTTGTTACAGACTAACATGATTGTTATATATAGTTGTTACGGACGAACATGATTGATATATATAGTTGTTACAGATGAACATGATTGTTATATATATAGTTTTTACAGACTAACATGATTGTTATATATAGTTGTTACGGACGAACATGATTGATATATATAGTTGTTACAAACGAACATGATTGTTATATATAGTTGTTACAGACGAACTCGATTGTTATATATAGTTGTTACAGACGAACACGATTGTAATAGATTTGTTACGGACGAACATGATTGATATATATATATAGTTGTTACGGACGAACATGATTGATATATATAGTTGTTACAGATGAACATGATTGTTATATATAGTTGTTACAGACGAACATGATTGATATATATAGTTGTTACAGATGAACATGATTGTTATATAGATTTGTTACAGACTAACATGATTGTTATATATAGTTGTTACAGACTAACATGATTGTTATATATAGTTGTTACAGATGAACATGATTGTTATATATAGTTGTTACGGACGAACATGATTGTTATATATAGTTGTTACAGACTAACATGATTGTTATATATAGTTGTTACAGATGAACATGATTGTTATATAGATTTGTTACAGACTAACATGATTGTTATATATAGTTGTTACAGATGAACATGATTGTTATATAGATTTGTTACAGATGAACATGATTGTTATATATAGTTGTTACAGACTAACATGATTGTTATATATAGTTGTTACGGACGAACATGATTGATATATATAGTTGTTACAGACTAACATGATTGTTATATATAGTTGTTACAGACTAACATGATTGATATATATAGTTGTTACGGACGAACATGATTGATATATATAGTTGTTACAGATGAACATGATTGTTATATATAGTTGTTACAGATGAACATGATTGTTATATATAGTTGTTACAGACTAACATGATTGTTATATATAGTTGTTACAGACTAACATGATTGTTATATATAGTTGTTACGGACGAACATGATTGATATATATAGTTGTTACAGATGAACATGATTGTTATATATAGTTGTTACAGACTAACATGATTGATATATATAGTTGTTACAGACTAACATGATTGTTATATATAGTTGTTACAGACTAACATGATTGTTATATATAGTTGTTACAGACTAACATGATTGATATATATAGTTGTTACAGACTAACATGATTGTTATATATAGTTGTTACAGATGAACATGATTGTTATATATAGTTGTTACAGACGAATATGATTGTAATAGATTTGTTACAAACGAACATGATTGTTATATATAGTTGTTACAGACGAACTCGATTGTTATATATAGTTGTTACAGATGAACATGATTGTTATATAGATTTGTTACAGATGAACATGATTGTTATATATAGTTGTTACAGACTAACATGATTGTTATATATAGTTGTTACAGACTAACATGATTGTTATATATAGTTGTTACGGACGAACATGATTGATATATATAGTTGTTACAGATGAACATGATTGATATATATAGTTGTTACAGACTAACATGATTGATATATATAGTTGTTACAGACTAAAATGATTGTAATAGATTTGTTACAGACGAACAAATTGTTATATATAGTTGTTACAGACGAATATAATTGTTATAGATTTGTTACAGACGAACATTATTGTAGATTTGTTACGGACGAACATTATTGTAGATTTGTTACGGACGAACATTATTGTAGATTTGTTACAGACGAACATTATTGTTTTAGACAACTAAATTTATTGACAAACATTTTTTTTGCTACAGACGGACATGAACGTGATCGTCGTAGACTGGGGTCAGGGAGCAGGTATTCCGTACGCCCAGGCCACGGCTAACACTCGAGTAGTAGGCGCACAGACCGGCCAGCTTATACTCACGCTCATCAATGTCACTAACACCCAAGCTGCAAACGTCCATGTCATCGGCCATAGCCTTGGAGCCCATATCGCAGGATACGCTGGTGACAGGGTACCACATCTCGGACGGATTACAGGTAATAAGACGCTTTGGTAAAAAAAAAACGTGAACGTAAGTTAAACATAACAAGGTGCGCGTGAGAAACATGTGGGCAGGCATGAAATACTATCACGAGTGTTTCGAAACATTTTTTCAAGTTGGTAATGCCAGTTGAATAGAAGTACTTAAAACACAGTCAGTTGTAGATATTTTATCAGCTGAACTATACTCCTATGAACACTAATGTATAAGATAGTGTGACAAAATGGTAAAAGAATACAAAAAGGTACACAGGATGGTAATAATGCATTGAAGGCTATTCGGCTACGCATTGTAAGAGAGTCTGGGCACGTTTTCTTGTGTTACCAGACAAGGCGCCGTGATTGGGGCATGCGTCACAGTATAACTAGACAATGCGCTGTGATTGGAGACATTCGTCACAGTATAACTAGACAAGGCGTCGTGATTGGAGATACTCGTCACAGTATAACTAGACAATGCACTGTGATTAGAGACATGCGTCGCAGTATAACTAGACAATGCTCCGTGATTGCAGACATTCGTCACAATATAACTAGACAACTCGCCGTGATCGGAGACATTCGTCACAATATAACTAGACAAGGCGCCGTGATTGGGGCATGCGTCACAGTATAACTAGACAAGGCGCCGTGATCAGAGACATTCGTCACAGTATAACTAGACAAGGCGCTGTGATTGGAGACATTCGTCACAGTATAACTAGACAAGGCGTCGTGATTGGAGATACTCGTCACAGTATAACTAGACAATGCACTGTGATTAGAGACATGCGTCGCAGTATAACTAGACAATGCTCCGTGATTGCAGACATTCGTCACAATATAACTAGACAACTCGCCGTGATCGGAGACATTCGTCACAATATAACTAGACAAGGCGCCGTGATTGGGGCATGCGTCACAGTATAACTAGACAAGGCGCCGTGATCAGAGACATTCGTCACAGTATAACTAGACAAGGCGCTGTGATTGGAGACATTCGTCACAGTATAACTAGACAAGGCGTCGTGATTGGAGATACTCGTCACAGTATAACTAGACAATGCACTGTGATTAGAGACATGCGTCGCAGTATAACTAGACAATGCTCCGTGATTGCAGACATTCGTCACAATATAACTAGACAACTCGCCGTGATCGGAGACATTCGTCACAATATAACTAGACAAGGCGCCGTGATTGGGGCATGCGTCACAGTATAACTAGACAAGGCGCCGTGATCAGAGACATTCGTCACAGTATAACTAGACAAGGCGTTGTGATTGGAGACATTCGTCACAGTATAACTAGACAAGGCGCCGTGATTGGAGACATTCGTCACAGTATAACTAGACAAGGCGCTGTGATTGGAGACATTCGTCACAGTATAACTAGACAAGGCGCTGTGATTGGAGACATTCGTCACAGTATAACTAGACAAGGCGCCGTGATTGGGGCATGTGTCGCAGCATAACTAGACAATGCGCCGTGATCGGAGACATTCGTCACAATATAACTAGACAATGCGCGTGATCGGAGACATTCGTCACAATATAACTAGACAAGGCGTCGTGATCAGAGACACTCGTTGTTAACGTAACCGATTGTTGTTGCCTCCAACTACCAAACAAACCAAACAAATGAATAACAGCTGAATACAACTATATACATGTATTTTCTTACATAAAGTTTAAACAAACCTAAAGGTACCATCATATACCACACTCTCACACTCTCAAGCATAGCGGCATATAATGTTTTACACAATACTTATGTATATACACTATGTAACACTCTTCCCTAACCAACAAATCAGAGATCACAGGATGTAGCTTTCAATTACCGGTCACAAAGCTGGATATCACAAAGAAAATCAGAGAACCTGCGCCTCATCAAACAATAATTCTCAATGTCAAAATGCTTCTGTTGACAAGATAACTGATTTGCTCTCTAATGATATCGAGATGTCGTAGCAGCAACTGGTGACAACGCCATAATGGTATGAGTACTTTCAGCTTCCATACATTATGTCGTACAACCCTACAATGGGTTTGTTGCACACAGGTTTCCATAACCTCCGTAAACTCGTGAATACATGGATGAAGTTTCCGCTGAGCCTATGACTTATTATGATATGATTATCTCACGTATAATAATCAAAATATTATAACATGCTAATCTGTCTACTTATTGTCTTACGCAACATACACACACATACGACTCTACTCGTGTAAACACACGCGAACATCATCACTAAACCTAACATACACATTAAATACATATTTAAAAATTTAAGCCTAATTGAAGAACATAATCACTTACTATAGCCATAGATGTTCAACAAAGTCGCAAATAACTCACACATACCAGATACAATACTAGTACTCGGTCATATCCGTGCATTAGAATGAGTACGTAATGCGCCATGATCATGGATTCTCGTCTGATGACTATATAATGCGTCGTGATCATGAATTATTGTCTTATCATAACTGTATAATGCGCCATGATCACGGATTCTCGTCGTAGATTAACTATATAATGCGCCATGTTCACGGATTCTCGTCGTAGAATAACTGTATAATGCGCCATGATCACGGATTCTCGTCGTAGATTAACTATGTAATGCGCCATGATCACGGATTCTCGTCGTAGATTAACTATGTAATGCGCCATGATCACGGATTCTCGTCTTATAACTGTATAATGCGCCATGATCACGGATTCTCGTCGTAGAATAACTATATAATGCGCCATGATCACGGATTCTCGTCGTAGATTAACTATGTAATGCGCCATGATCACGGATTCTCGTCGTAGAATAACTGTATAATGCGCCATGATCACGGATTCTCGTCGTAGATTAACTATGTAATGCGCCATGATCACGGATTCTCGTCTTATAACTGTATAATGCGCCATGATCACGGATTCTCGTCGTAGAATAACTATATAATGCGCCATGATCACGGATTCTCGTCGTAGATTAACTATGTAATGCGCCATGATCACGGATTTTCGTCGTAGAATAACTATATAATGCGCCATGATCACGGATTCTCGTCTTATAACTGTATAATGCGCCATGATCACGGATTCTCGTCGTAGAATAACTGTATAATGCGTCGTGATCACGGATTCTCGTCGTAGAATAACTATATAATGCGCCATGATCACGGATTCTCGTCGTAGAATAACTATGTTATGCGCCATGATCACGGATTCTCGTCGTAGATTAACTATGTAATGCGCCATGATCACGGATTCTCGTCTTATAACTGTATAATGCGCCATGATCACGGATTCTCGTCGTAGAATAACTATATAATGCGCCATGATCACGGATTCTCGTCGTAGATTAACTATGTAATGCGCCATGATCACGGATTCTCGTCGTAGAATAACTGTATAATGCGCCATGATCACGGATTCTCGTCGTAGATTAACTATGTAATGCGCCATGATCACGGATTCTCGTCTTATAACTGTATAATGCGCCATGATCACGGATTCTCGTCGTAGAATAACTATATAATGCGCCATGATCACGGATTCTCGTCGTAGATTAACTATGTAATGCGCCATGATCACGGATTTTCGTCGTAGAATAACTATATAATGCGCCATGATCACGGATTCTCGTCTTATAACTGTATAATGCGCCATGATCACGGATTCTCGTCGTAGAATAACTGTATAATGCGTCGTGATCACGGATTCTCGTCGTAGAATAACTATATAATGCGCCATGATCACGGATTCTCGTCGTAGAATAACTATATAATGCGCCATGATCACGGATTCTCGTCGTAGAATAACTATATAATGTGTCGTGATCATGGATTCTCGTCGTAGAATTACTGTATAATGCGTCGTGATCACGGATTCTCGTCGTAGAATAACTGTATAATGTGTCGTGATCACGGATTCTCGTCGTAGAATAACTGTATAATGTGTCGTGATCACGGATTCTCGTCGTAGAATAACTGTATAATGCGTCGTGATCACGGATTCTCGTCGTAGATTAACTATGCAATGCGCCATGATCACGGATTCTCGTCGTAGAATAACTATATAATGTGTCGTGATCACGGATTCTCGTCGTAGAATAACTGTATAATGCGTCGTGATCACGGATTCTCGTCGTAGATTAACTATGCAATGCGCCATGATCACGGATTCTCGTCGTAGAATAACTGTATAATGGGTCGTGATCACGGATTCTCGTAGTAGAATAACTATATAATGCGCCATGATCACGGATTCTCGTCGTAGATTAACTATGTAATGTGCCATGATCACGGATTCTCGTCGTAGAATAACTATATAATGCGCCATGATCACGGATTCTCATCTTATAACTGTATAATGCGCCATGATCACGGATTCTCGTCGTAGAATAACTATATAATGCGCCATGATCACGGATTCTCGTCGTAGAATAACTATGTTATGCGCCATGATCACGGATTCTCGTCGTAGATTAACTATATAATGCGTCGTGATCACGGATTCTCGTCGTAGAATAACTGTATAATGCGCCATGATCACGGATTCTCGTTGTAGAATAACTATATAATACGTCGTGATCACGGATTCTCGTCGTAGATTAACTGTATAATGTGTCGTGATCACGGATTCTCGTCGTAGAATAACTGTATAATGCGTCGTGATCAGGGATTCTCGTCGTAGATTAACTATGCAATGCGCCATGATCACGGATTCTCGTCGTAGAATAACTATATAATGTGTCGTGATCACGGATTCTCGTCGTAGAATAACTGTATAATGCGTCGTGATCACGGATTCTCGTCGTAGATTAACTATGTAATGCGCCATGATCACGGATTCTCGTCGTAGAATAACTATATAATGCGCCATGATCACGGATTCTCGTCTTATAACTGTATAATGTGTCGTGATCACGGATTCTCGTCGTAGAATAACTGTATAATGCGTCGTGATCAGGGATTCTCGTCGTAGATTAACTATGCAATGCGCCATGATCACGGATTCTCGTCGTAGAATAACTATATAATGTGTCGTGATCACGGATTCTCGTCGTAGAATAACTGTATAATGCGTCGTGATCACGGATTCTCGTCGTAGAATAACTATATAATGCGCCATGATCACGGATTCTCGTCGTAGATTAACTATGTAATGCGCCATGATCACGGATTCTCGTCTTATAACTGTATAATGCGCCATGATCACGGATTCTCGTCGTAGAATAACTATATAATGCGCCATGATCACGGATTCTCGTCGTAGATTAACTATATAATGCGTCGTGATCACGGATTCTCGTCGTAGAATAACTGTATAATGCGCCATGATCACGGATTCTCGTTGTAGAATAACTATATAATGTGTCGTGATCACGGATTCTCGTCGTAGAATTACTGTATAATGCGTCGTGATCACGGATTCTCGTCGTAGATTAACTGTATAATGTGTCGTGATCACGGATTCTCGTCGTAGAATAACTGTATAATGTGTCGTGATCACGGATTCTCGTCGTAGATTAACTATGCAATGCGCCATGATCACGGATTCTCGTCGTAGAATAACTGTATAATGGGTCGTGATCACGGATTCTCGTCGTAGAATAACTGTATAATGCGTCGTGATCACGGATTCTCGTCGTAGATTAACTATGCAATGCGCCATGATCACGGATTCTCGTCGTAGAATAACTGTATAATGTGTCGTGATCACGGATTCTCGTCGTAGATTAACTATGCAATGCGCCATGATCACGGATTCTCGTCGTAGAATAACTGTATAATGGGTCGTGATCACGGATTCTCGTCGTAGAATTACTGTATAATGCGTCGTGATCACGGATTCTCGTCGTAGATTAACTATGCAATGCGCCATGATCACGGATTCTCGTCGTAGAATAACTGTATAATGTGTCGTGATCACGGATTCTCGTCGTAGAATAACTGTATAATGCGTCGTGATCACGGATTCTCGACGTAGAATAGCTATATAATGCGTCGTGATCGCAGACACTTGTCATAGGACATACGTTCGTGGTTTCTTATATTCAGCGTTTAGTCAATAAACACGTCCAGCTTCATATCGCACAAAGAAATTTCTCAGTAAGATCGCTATGATGGCAGTAAAATTTTTAAAAATAATTTTTATCTACCTGCATCTTTTGAAACCCTATGTTACGAGTTAATGCGTCAGAGTATTGTGTTATAATGCAAGATAATATACATGAAAACGCAATTTAAATGAAATTTTTTCGAAATTGTCTCTACTCAGCACGCCCACTTGTTCGCGCTAATGCCGAGCCCTTAGAGCAATTGCATGTGTTTACGATACACGTGGCGTTGCCAAGGTGTCAGGGACAGACAAAGATGGCTGTAAACATAATACAGTTTTAATGAATAAGTAATTATAATTACTGTCCCCGTTGGAATGAGCAACATCGGTGAGAAGTGCAAATTAGAAGTGAGGATATATTTCCTTTCGATGGTAAACACGTCACCACGAACATATCCTTGTACAAAACTTTGCCATGTCGACAAGCAGTCTGCCATTTAAATGCCATAACATTTTGAAGTAAACAATTAGTGTTCTGTGGGGAAGACTTGCGGCTAAGATATTGATTGGTGGAGAGTTAGACGGTAGAACGGAAAATTATTAGTACATGTATATGGTTAATGATATAGGTATCACGCGGATATCGTGTTTACTAGTGTAGGTGTGGTTTAAACTTGCTGCTGTGTATAAATGATATGTTACAACTATGTTCACATTCCCAATAGGTCGGGTTGATAATTTGCTAAACGCATTTCTCTTCGAGAAAAAATCACACTTAAGTTAAAGGCTGAAGTAGACTTGTATATTTGTGTTCAGTCAACTTCCTCCGTTCAGTAAAGCCTCTACATTCGGTAAGCCATCACTGCTCAGTGAGCCCTTGTTGCTCTCAGTAAGCTCTCCTGATAAGTTAAAGCTTATCAGTAAGCCGGGACCATCATGTCATACAACTATGTGTAGTTGTGTCTACTTCTCTACCTCGCTCTGAAATAGAATTTCTCTCTAATATTACGTTTTCAATGTTAGTTCAACTAAATATTCAAATGAGTAGACATGCGCAACTTGTGGTACTAGATGCACCAATCCCAATCGTTGTATCAAACTTGTGACTGTGACAATAACATGTGTTTTAATGACGTTTTTAGGTCTTGACCCCGCCGACCCCTACTTTCAAGGTGGCGACCCCGTCATTCGATTGGATGCCACGGACGCTGACTTCGTTGACGTCATACATACTGACGCCTCTAGTATTCTGGAATTGGGAATGGGAGCCATTCAACAGATGGGTCACGTGGACTTCTATCCAAATGGCGGGAAAGATCAGCCCGGATGTGACGCGGGTTTGCTGGGAAAGGTATCTCACACCGTCTGGAATGCTGTTACACAGCTTGACTACTATGGTAAATATACCGGTGCAACATTATCCGATTTTAGTTTAATGGAAAACACGAAACAACTGTACTGGCATTTATATATACTGAACGGTAAGTTAAGGACAGCGTATTTGAATCATCCAAATAATAGATAGGCAAGTTTCAATTTATATTTATTTACAAACAAATTTGTCCTGAGACAGCGGAGCATATCACAGTTAAGCTTGAGAGAACAAGAGGGCTGATTGATTGAGATATATCAATTGTAGTTTTCAGAATGATTCTCAGATGTCTCGCTGAGATGACAGTATCTTCGGGTCATTATGGAAATACAGACTTTTTAGTTTTTTTCTTGTTTCGGAACTCATTGTGTATCCAATGAGTTTCCAGTTGAACTACCAAAGCCATTATTCCCCCCGTTTACTGAAAACTTCAGGGAGTATGGATATGCTTGTGACATTCATTCATTTGTCGTTTCAGCTGGAGAGGCGACCGTCGCGTGCAGCCACGAGCGGTCGTATGAACTGTTCACAGAGTCAATATCTAGCACATGTCCTTTCAGGGCCTATCCTTGCACGAGCGATACCGAGTTTAACCAAGGCCATTGTCTCAGATGTAACGGTGACGAATGTTCTAACATGGGTTACGATTCGATCAACTTCGCCGCACGAGGATCTCTGTACCTTAAAACACAACCCACCGCTCCCTTCTGTAGTAAATATTTTTGCTTCATATGTCCTTTTACATTGATTGTCCTTAAGTAGGAATAGAAAGAATGAAACAGGATGAGAAAGGCACAAATGATAGTAGAAAGATGAAGCAATATAGCAATGTATTGCGGTTCGTAGCTCCTCCCAGATACCTTCTGAGCAAGTTCAACTTACTTTTTAATTTTCGAAAGAAACCTGATAAATGTAGGTTGCATGATTCAGCTGTCGGGTAATTGTATGCAACAATGTTCGAAGGGGAATCCAAATGCTTCACAATGTGATTTCAATGACCGATTTCTTTTATGAAGCCTGCTCTCTTCTATGATTTAAAAATGAGCGCATGTCTGATATATATCGTCTTCGTGACAACAAGGGTATATATCTATATATTTATCCTGCAACTGACACTACCATTGTCGGAATACACCTGCCGCATATATTTTTGCTGTAGTCGGCAGTGACGGAAAACAGCTGTATCTTAGCACGCGCGGTAATTCGACAGAATTATTTCTGAATTTACTTTAAAATCACGTTAATGATATTTAAAAAATGTTGTAATCAGTTATTTTACATGTTGTAATGAACATGTTAATCTATATAAAAAAAATCATAAATACGCTGTTATATCCGATGAAATTTGGAACTATATTTTCGAGCGGAGCACTTATTTAGGCATACGTCATCAGGCAAAATTCAGCGTAACGTCAATGACAGGAAAACAAACTTTGAGCAACAAATCTGCCGATGTTTTGGTGGTCTGATTTTCAATCAATGTTGCAGGGTAAATAGAATACATGGTCAGTGTCTTAAAATATAAACTGCGAAGAAAATTTCGTAAGCTTTTTTTTCGTACGTAAACATCCTTTATTTTCTACTATTTCATTAACTCCGATACAGAATGGATACAAACAGGCCACATTTTACTTGCTTTCTTTCTTTTAATGATTGTCATAACGTTTGAATCGTTTTTTTTTGCACGTTTCTTTGTGGAAAAACTGTTTTTTTCTATATTACAACTCATTGTCTTGCCTCCTACGTGTTCCTATCTATAACGTTCGACTTTCTGATTGAGGATCGATACTTTGTTTCGTGACTGCATGATTTTAATCACTTGGTGATACTGCTGTATTTTTCAGCAGGTATGATAACGATATGTTTGATAGGTAATGAGTTTGAAGATGCTTGAAATCCAAACACCTGGTCACAGTCTTTAAAAATATAGATTTAGATAGTTATTTGGCCTGCCTATATTGACAACCTTTCCTTGTGTATTCCTGGCCGACCTGCCTATATTGACAATCTTTCCATCTGTTTACCTGGCCGACCTGGCTATATTGACAACCTTTCCTAGTATATTCCTGGCCGACCTGCCTATATTAACAACCTTTCCTTGTGTATTCCTGGCCGACCTGCCTATATTGACAATCTTTCCATCTGTTTACCTGGCCGACCTGGCTATATTCACAACCTTGCCTTGTGTATTCCTGGCCGACCTGCCTATATTGACAATCTTTCCATCTGTTTACCTGGCCGACCTGGCTATATTGACAACCTTTCCTTGTATATTCCTGGCCGACCTGGCTATATTGACAACCTTTCCTTGTGTATTCCTGGCTGCCATCGCTATATTGACAATCTTTCCATCTGTTTACCTGGCCGACCTGGCTATATTCACAACCTTACCTTGTGTATTCCTGGCCGACCTGCCTATATTGACAATCTTTCCTTCTGTATTCCTGGCTGACCTGGCTATATTGACAACCTTTCCTTGTGTATTCCTGGCTGACCTGGCTATATTGACAACCTTTCCTTGTGTATTCCTGGCCGACCTGCCTATATTGACAACCTTTCCTTGTGTATTCCTGGCCGACCTGGCTATATTGACAACCTTTCCTTGTGTATTCCTGGCTGACCTCGCTATATTGACAATCTTTCCATCTGTTTACCTGGCCGACCTCGCTTTATTGACAACCTTTCCTTGTGTATTCCTGGCCGACCTGGCTATATTGACAACCTTTCCTTGTGTATTCCTGGCCGACCTGGCTATATTGACAACCTTTCCTTGTGTATTCCTGGCTGACCTCGCTATATTGACAACCTTTCCTTGTGTATTCCTGGCCGACCTGCCTATATTGACAACCTTTCCCTTGTGTATTCCTGGCCGACCTGCCTATATTGACAACCTTTCCCTGTGTATTCCTGGCCGACCTGGCTATATTGACAACCTTTATATTCTTGACTAACCTGGCTATATTGACTACCTCTCTTTCCAGATTACCACTACCAGATCAACGTGACAGGGAAAAATAACATGGATGGGATATTGACTGTTGTTCTCCAAGGTCAAAAGGGCAACTCAAGCCCAGTCAAACTGATGAGGTACGTTTATTGATATCACGGTCAAACTGACGAGGTACGCGTGTTGATATAACTACAAATATTTGCACAAATTTATTATTCCGACGTTTCGTATTACCACAGTGACAACGAGGTCCACACTCAAGGTCACACAATCTCCAAATTCATCACAATCAAGGAAGATATTGGAGATATCCAGGCTGTAGCTATGCAGTATGACAAGACATCCAGCACACTTACGGGGTGGGCGTACCCCGAGGATTGGGTTCTGATGGGCGTGGCCCTCATGGATGGCTCCAACCAACAACTGTAAGTAGGCCCAGAAGACGTCACATTCTGAATGTCTCTTACAGGATTTTAGTTCATGAGAATTTGATGTTCAGAGTTATTAACAAGGTAAGTATAAATTTCCTACAAGTAACGAGTTTGAAGTCACGTGAAATCAGCATTATTAAAGATCCGTGTTGATGGTAAATCTTTTTAATAACCAATCATGATGATAAACTCCTCATCTCCGCAGCAATGATTGTCACCGTTGTGGGTTTTGATCGGCACTAAATACCACCATTATGTCTCATAAACATTGTCTAGCACGCTTCTAAATTAATCCAACATCTTGTGATCATGATAAATATCACAAAATATAGAAACACCTGCTTTGATATTAGTTAGACGGAGCATACGAGCAGACTTTATATCAACTCACCATAGGGCATATTTAGGAACGATTAAAAACTGAAGGAATATTCGTATTTCACTAACTACAAGAGATATTCGATTCTTCAACTTCATTAACTTCTTCAAGAACTAAAACCTGCCTTGAAAACTGTACAAAAGTCACAAGTGAATATCACCTTTCAAAACACATTAAGTGTTATATGCATTGGAGCCAAATAAGACATAAAGCCTGCACCACACAGTTGTTTCCTCAGTATATTAACCTACAGAATGATATGTGAAACTTCCACATAAATGTCCTTAATTTACCCACCTACAGAGTGGTAAGTAAATCTTCCTCAAATTTGTCCTTAGTTTAAGGTTATGGCCTCGGTTTTCTGAGATACTGATGGTATTCTGATATTCTGATGGTAGATTATCTGCAAAAAGGGACGAACAATCAATGTCAGATATTATGCATCACTTCTTAGTCAGTTTAGAAAAAAAAAAGATTAAACTCAGGCGCCGCAGAAAACTCAGTAAAGGTGTGTTGTTCCACCAGGACAATGCCCCTATTCACAAGTCTGTCATTGCCATGGCTGCCATTAACGATTGTGACTTTCAATTGATTGAGCATCCGCTTAATTCGCCTGATCTTGTGCCATCAGACTTTCGTCTATTTCCAAAATTGAAAAAAGGTCGTATCCGGTTCCCACTTTCGGTCAGCTGATGTAGTCATATATACAGTGGAGAACTCTCTGAAGGATCACAAAGTGTATAAATACTCAGGGGATTGTGGTGTAACATAATGCAATATGTCCACCTAAAGTCAACCCTTAAATATGAGACTCACAAACATTATCGATCAGCTGTCGTATATAGAATGCCTTTTTATCGACACCTTTTTTGTTCAGTAAGGTGAAGTAACGTGTTGTCATTGTGTTAATATACTATTGAATATTGTAAACTGTCAAGAACTAATCAATTCCTAATCTGGGCTCAATTTTTTTTTTACGTCAAAGAAATTATATTTAGAATTTGTTATTTCGTGGCAAGTGTCCTGTAAATCATATTCGACCCTGTTCATGATAAACCAACAACAAAAAAATAACGTTTTAACACAAGGAAATAACATAATTATACTAACAACATATCGATCGCAATGACATTTATCAGATTTTCCAAGAGTGAATGAGAACTGTTACTGGATTAGACGTAACGTAATTCACAGAAACAAAAGCAGTGTTGACGCAACAGGAGGTGAGAAGAAGCATTGCGACCAAACAAAAGCAAGGCGTTGGCTTGTATTCTAAAGTACATAATATGGATTCCTTATTTCTATGAAACCCAGATCTATACATCATAACTTTTTTTCTATGCATTAAATATGATATGCTTAAGAACCACAAACATCAACGACATGTTTATTCTTATACTGAGAATTTGGAGAGTCAGTGATGTAATGAATGACATTGCATTTGGGACAATGACTTCCGGTACAACTGATAGCAAGGACTGTGGCAACATGGTGTGAATTTGTGTCAAACACATAGACGCAAGATGTATTTTGAAGAACATCGTCTTTATTTTAATAGTAGACGGAAAGTCACACTAGCTTTGTCAAAATAGGCAAACGTTGCCTCATTTGTATGAACGCAGTTGTAATTTTCTGCGAAATCAATTTGACAGATGGTCTGATCTTCCGGCAGTTTTTGCTTTGGGTTGCGAATTTCTTCTGCTGAACTCTAATATTGTGGTTCATGAAGTCAACAAATTCCTTCCTCAGTATTTTAACAAATGCCTTTTTTCTGTTACCATGGTTTGCATGCGTTTGGATGTAAATCCTTTGTATACAACATCAACGGGTCTTCAGTCGCAGTACTGGATCTCCTATTCTGAGACTGCCTTAAGCTTTGTAAAAACTTCTTCGTTCGTTTGTTGTGTAACCAGAGTGTCGGGAATATCTATACTTGTTACACCAACAGCTTTCAGTGCTTGAAGTGATAAAGAACATCAAGAACATACCAACATGACAACGTTATCATAATTCAAACTCAAATTCCATAAAACTAGGGCAAAATATGAGCAAAAGAAAGATTAACACGGAGACTCATGAAAAAGTACAAGGAGAACAAGACCAAGTGTTCCGGAAGAGTAAGCGAAGATGATTGCATCATGTGTAGATGCAGCTATAAAATCCATTGCATTGTATGATATATAGAAACACCAGACGGTAACGTTATTCATCTTAGAGATTTTCTACATTAACATAATATGACAAACTTCGCTTTCACATCTTTTATAATAAATAGGAATATGGTGTCTTCTGTCATATTATGACCTTTATATCATTGTTTAAATAAGACATAACATTTGTCTTACTTTGTTTATAGTGAGCCCTACTCCAGTGAGTGGTGACGTAATTCACATTGATTTTTGTGATAAGCCGTCTCTGTACCACTCCCTTGAAATAACTGTAACACCAGCTAGGTATAACCTGTTTTTTTTTAACTGAACTAGCATTTATCTGCTGAAATAAAAGATTTCTAGAAACAGAGACTGTGTATTGCTCTACATATCGGACTTTCGCGAAAGAATCATACATTTTACACGTGTAATTTACATCACATTGGTATGAACTCCCATTCACATCAACAGAAGACAGTAAAGCGTCCATAATTTTAATTCCAGATGCACTGGACACCACATTTAGGTATTTGGACAATTTATCTGATTTTGAATGATCTAGTGACATTTCGGGAATTACGTCATTCACGTCGGAGATTCGAGGCCCGAGTCAAAAGTGATCTTCCTTCGTTAATTGTTGTACAATGTTCAAAATATCAATTAATTAACACCTTGCGTCATATCTATATTGATGATCCAAATGTTCCGGATTTGAAATACCTCTCGTAAATGTACCCGAGTTAGACATGTATTTATTAATGAAAGTATCTTGGTCAATTTTAAAGAATGTCATTTGAGCCTAATTTGACCACATTTGAATACTTGGTATCAAGCTATCCAGGTAGTTTTACTGTAGCTAATTTTTTTCTGTTGTAGGTCATCTTTCTGCGGCTACGGCAAATCCATTACTAACCACAAGGCTATAAGCATGGGACTCGTGGGCACCTGTTAAATCTTTACACTTTTAGTCCTCCAATAAAACACGTCTAAATTGAAGTCTTATTGTTTCTTTTAACAGGAAAAAATCAAATGAGTGTATAGATCTTGAATACGTTAATGTAATCAGTATCTAATTAGTTACTGTAACCAACATCTACTTAGTTACTGTAACCAATATCTAATTAGTTACTGTAACCAATATCTAATTAGTTACTGTAACCAATATATAATTAGTTACTGTAACCAGTATATAATTAGTTACTGTAACCAACATCTAATTAGTTACTGTAACCAATATCTAATTAGTTACTGTAACCAATATATAATCAGTTACTGTAACCAATATCTAATTAGTTACTGTAACCAATATATAATTAGTTACTGTAACCAACATCTAATCAGTTACTGTAACCAACATCTAATTAGTTACTGTAACCAATATATAATTAGTTACTGTAACCAACATCTAATCAGTTACTGTAACCAACATCTAATCAGTTACTGTAACCAACATCTAATCAGTTACTGTAACCAACATCTAATTAGTTACTGTAACCAATATATAATCAGTTACTGTAACCAACATCTAATTAGTTACTGTAACCAACATCTAATTAGTTACCGTAACCAATATCTAATTAGTTACTGTAACCAATATATAATTAGTTACTGTAACCAATATATAATTAGTTACTGTAACCAATATATAATTAGTTACTGTAACCAGTATATAATTAGTTACTCTAACCAATATATAATTAGTTACTGTAACCAATATCTAATTAGTTACTGTAACCAATATATAATCAGTTACTGTAACCAATATATAATTAGTTACTGTAACCAATATATAATTAGTTACTGTAACCAATATATAATTAGTTACTGTAACCAATATATAATTAGTTACTGTAACCAATATCTAATTAGTTACTGTAACCAATATATAATCAGTTACTGTAACCAATATATAATTAGTTACTGTAACCAATATATAATCAGTTACTGTAACCAATATATAATCAGTTACTGTAACCAATATATAATTAGTTACTGTAATTAGTTACTGTAACCAACATCTAATCAGTTACTGTAACCAACATCTAATCAGTTACTGTAACCAACATCTAATTAGTTACTGTAACCAATATATAATTAGTTACTGTAACCAACATCTAATCAGTTACTGTAACCAACATATAATTAGTTACTGTAACCAATATCTAATTAGTAACTGTAACCAACATCTAATCAGTTACTGTAACCAATATATAATTAGTTACTGTAACCAATATCTAATTAGTTACTGTAACCAATATCTAATTAGTAACTGTAACCAATATATAATTAGTTACTGTAACCAATATCTAATTAGTTACTGTAACCAACATCTAATTAGTTACTGTAACCAATATATAATTAGTTACTGTAACCAATATATAATCAGTTACTGTAACCAATATATAATTAGTTACTGTAACCAACATCTGATCAGTTACTGTAACCAACATCTAATTAGTTACTGTAACCAATATATAATTAGTTACTGTAACCAATATATAATTAGTTACTGTAACCAACATCTAATTAGTTACTGTAACCAATATATAATTAGTTACTGTAACCAATATCTAATTAGTTACTGTAACCAATATATAATTAGTTACTGTAACCAACATCTAATTAGTTACTGTAACCAACATCTAATTAGTTACTGTAACCAATATATAATTAGTTACTGTAACCAATATCTAATCAGTTACTGTAACCAACATTTAGAACCAATAAGCTCATTTATGTTACAGCAACGGAATTATAATTAATAATTTGTCTACGTCTTTAGTTTCCTTATCACAGCTTAGTACACATAAACTCGGTATAGACAGCCTGTTGGGTTTATCGCCCGTGTACAGCTAGGGTCACTTAGAGGTGGGGACAACTTGCAATACCTTGTGGTGGCTCATTGTGACCCGTCCCTTGCCATGCAGAGTAGTTTCGATAAAGTGTCTCTTATCAAGGACACAACTATGGTAAGGAGCGTCGAACCACATACCTCAGATCTTCACCTGCGTAAGACAACACTGACTGGGAAATTGCGGCCGATTTTTATGAATAGTTTCAATCCTGTTGGGCATACCATATACATGTACCAGCATTCTCCTAATAAATTACCCCTCAAAATACCAAACACAGACTGTTAAAAGCAAGTATAATACCATATGATACTATTTACTTAATATCATATTTACTTATATATTTTGCTGACGAGATGTCTATAGATATGTATTCAAGAGAGATGCTTTTATTTTAATTTTTGTTTTACAGAAAATATATCCTTTATATTAGAAATTTTACGGAATCGTCATTTTGATATTTACCTATAGTACTCACAATAATGATCTCTTCGCTAATAAATAACATGAAAATTATACATACAGACTATACAGCTTCCCCTAATGCTTTACTGTATGAAATAGAGTCAAAGAGAGAGTACTCTAGTATGTTCTAACGCAGTAGCGTAGCTAAACTACCTATAGCTGTTGAGTGAGATTTTGAAGGTTTGAACATATGTACAAGAAAGTTATCAACATCACACGTGTGATTAGCTGCTTTCATAAGAAAAAAAAATTTAAACCGAATTAGAATTGCGGAGTAATTGATAAAATCCATCATCCAGCAGATTTTGCCGTTTTAGATGACTGTTCGAAAGATGTTAAGGCCAAAAGTCGTTTATTAAATGTTTTTAAAAATTACGTCATGTACATGTGAAATATGATGTTTAGTCATCAGTGCTGTAGGCTAATGTGTTTAAAATGATAGTGTTTATGAATGTTGATTTAGTGATGTATGTAAGAGTAACCCATAATATGGACAACATCCAACAGCATTAGGTACGAACGGAGACTGACGATCGCCATTCGAAAAATATTTATATAATTTTAAAGTACATATGATTTTTCAATCCATGCCTTTAACAAACACATACAGATAACATGTAGAACAGACAAATGTAGATAACACACTTCTGTAGTGAACAAATACACGTGGAGAACAAACACGTGAATAGAACAAGCACGTGCAGTGAGCATACACGTGTGGAGATCAAACACACATAAAGAACAAACACGTGCAGAGGACAAACTCTTGTATATGTTAAGCTGCACTTCCCAATTAATTTTAATCGATAGTCTCCGAGACTGTGTAATTCAAAGTTGAGAAGAGAGCCAGTCTTATGTTCCTTGTCATTCTCAGATTAGACCATGCACTACCACTGTGGGTAATGAGATCGCTAAAATCTCACCAGGACATACGTGACCGACCAGCGTTCAGCAAGTCAATCTGAGGTTTGGGCTAATTTTAGGTTATTAAGAAAATATTTCACTTTAATAGATGTTTATTACTGATTATATAAAGGATACTATTTTTATTTGTTGTTGCACCAATTCTCACCCGCATTCCGCGCATTTTTAGACATCATTTATCTTATGACAAACTGTTACTATGATATTTATAGAGAATACATGGTCACCGTCTTAAGACAGATATAAGTGGCGAGCCTCTGCACCTTTCACTTTCTGTCCAGAACCAAAATGCAGCTTGAATATTAAGACACTGGCATTGTATTCAACAGTTTTTGGTGTTCAGTCTTTGATTACCTGACGTTGACGTTACGCTGAATTTTGCCTGATGAGGAACGCAAAAGTTATTCCTCCACACCGTTCCAAACTTCAACGAATATGACAGCGATTTTATTTTATTTTTTTTTAAATAACTTTGTTCATTACAACATATAAAATCGCTCATTTCAACAGTTATTTTTATTATTAAATGTAATTTTAAGAATTTTCATAATGTAATTCTATCGAATTTGCGCACGTGCTAAATTACAGCTGTTTTCAGTCACTGCCGAATACAGAACAAATATATGTTGCAGCTGTATTCCGACAATAGCAGTGCCAGTTGTAGGATAAGTCATTAAGCTCAAACCTTCCTTATTTCAAAAAAGAAATACCTTGATAATATTATCAAGGAAAGTGTAGCGAATAACGTAGTTGATTTTCTAATATTTTCATCGTATGTAATGGTATAGCGCAGGCTCATTTGTCAGGAAAAAAAAGCCTCGAGTATTTTTTTTGGTAAAGGCGAAAGCTCGCTTGATTTTGTTATATGATACTATAAACACACCAAAAAATTAGGGTGGCATTTTACCTATGCATTCTAACGGCCCGAAATCCAAGATGGCCGCCACAATTGCAAAATATCCTAAAATTGACGCTAAAATCAACATAATGTTGTTTGAATATTTTTTTTCAACATGGGAATTTGTATACACCGGTGACCATAATAACCATAACTTCCACCTGATTACTAATTTTCATATTTTGTACACTTTCAGAGGAAAAACGACTTTTTCATTTCATTACAGCTGCCAGAAAATTTACTTTCGAATCGAGTCTGCGGCAGCGGTTGTTCTTATTAGGTTAAGGTTCCACTTGTCGTGCAATTTTATGGTGTATATTCAAACATAATATCTTCTTCTTTTGCAGGCTACCCCCACAGCATGCACAGCAACCATAACACATGATAACATAGCTTAGAGGCCTTAGTTAGATTAACAAAATGGCAGAGTCAGCATCTAACAAGAAATCAAAAACGGAAGATTTTGAACTATGCTTTATTTTTCAGTTAAGCAGCAAGCAAACAGATTATACAAACTATGTGTTTCATCCTTCTTTGCTTTCAGAAGAGAAACTAATTACAACCACTGATGTCCGATGTTTATGTCAGGAAAAACAGTTCTCTGCACTAAAGAATCGCATTAAAGGTTTGTCTGCTGATGAACTGTGACAGAATGGTGTTTCATACCACAAGACATGTAATAAGGATCTCACACATAAAACATGCATTGAACTAGCTAAGGTCAGATATGAGAAAGGACAAGCGACAGGCAGTGCACGTGATGTAAAACAGAAAACGAAATCTTCTGCTGCGTCTACAAGAGCTTCCATGTCA